GAAATCTTGAAGAAGAGATTTATATGCTCTAGCCTGAAGGTTTTGAAGAAAAAGAAAAAAAAGAACTTGGTTTGTAGGTTGAACAAATCTCTGTACGGTCTAAAGAAGGCACCGAGGTGTTGGTATAAGAGATTTGATTCCTTCATTATGTGCCTTGGATACAACAGACTTAATGCATACCCTTGTGCTTATTTCAAGAGGTTTGGTAATATAGATTTTGTTATATTAATGTTGTATGTGGATGACATGTTGGTTGTAGGACCCAACAATGATCATATATTGAAGAATTGAAGGCACATCTGGCTAGGGAATTTGAAATGAAGGACTTGGGATCAGCAAACAAGATTTTGGGGATACAAATTCACCGAGACAGAAGTAATATGAAGATTTGGCTTTCACAAAAGAATTACTTGAAGAAGATCTTGTCACAATTCAACATGCAAGATTGTAAGCCAATTTCTACCCCTCTTCCTATTAACTTCAAATTATCCTCCAGTATGAGTCCTAGGAGTGAAGAAGAGAGGATGGAGATGTCTTGAGTGTCGTACGCATCGGCAGTGGGAAGTTTAATGTTCGTTGTGATATGCACAAGACCAGACATTGCACAAGCAGTGGGAGTGGTTAGTCGGTACATGGAGAATGCATGCAAAGAGCATTGGAATACAATAAAGAGGATTTTGAGATATATCAAATGGACCTCAAATGTTGCATTATATTACGGAGGATCAAATTTACTTATCAATGGGTATGTTGATTCTGACTATGTAGGGGATTTGGATAAAAACAAGTCTACTACAGGATATGTGTTCAAATTTGCTGGTGGAGCTGTAAACTGGGTTTCAAAATTGCAGTCAGTTATGGCTACATCCACAACAGAGGCAGAATATGTAGCAGCTACACATGTCAGTAAAGAAGCAATTTGGTTGAAGATGCTATTGGAGGAGCTTGGGCACAATCAAGAGTATGTCTCTCTGTTTTGTGACAGTCAAAGCACCTTGCATATAGCATGGAATCCAACATTTTATTCAAGGACAAAGCACATACGAGTTCATTACCATTTCATTAGTGAAAAGGTGGAAGAAGGGACAATAGATATGCAGAAGATCCATACAAAAAACAACATAGCAAATTTCATGACGAAGACGATCAATACTGATAAATTTACTTGGTGTCGATCCTCTTGTGGCCTATCAGAGACGTAATCAACATGATGATACAAGGTAGAAAAAATGTTGTGAATATATGATTGTTCCAATTAAATCTTCAAGTGGGAGATTGTTGAAAGCATACACCGAAAGTGCATGAATTATTGAAAAAAAAGAATGAAATTTTCAACAATGGTAGGCACCGAATGGTGAAGTCAATTTCGGTGTAGGTTTTGTTGACAATTTGGTAATAGAAAAATTACAAATTTAGTCCCTATACTTTAGGGTATTTACAATATTAGTCCTTAAGCTTCAACTATAAATACCCTAACTCATTTAGCTTCAAAACCATCCCAAATCATTCTAGCTTTCTCCTACTACTAGAGAATTTAGAGAGTTTCTTGAGAGTTGTTTTCTCATTTTTATCAAGAGAGAATTGTCATTGTTTTCTCCTTGTTAGATCGAGAGAAGTTGTAATTACTATTTTCTCATGGTGAAATTCTTGTATCTTTGCCCGTGGTTTTTACCCTATATTATTAAGGGGGTTTCCATATAAAATTTGTGTCTTCTTTACCTTCATATTTATTTTATCAAATTATCAGTTGCGATTTTACTCTATACGATAGCTGTATTCCGCAACAATAATCAAGGATGTGGTTCAGTTTAAGAAATATATCGGAGCACCTGGAATGACTGTTCTCCAGTTTGGTAATATGTTGCCACTAATCAACTGTGATACCATCTTTTTAAACTTTCATTTTTGATTGATGGCCTTTAATTTGGCATTATGTGATATTGTAGTTTTGTCCCGTTTTCTCTTGCTTTAGGTTTTGGTAGCGACTATAGAAACCCTCATATGCCACACAATCACGAGTCAAATCAAGTTGTGTACACTGGAACTCATGACAATGACACGGTAAAGCTCCTTCAAGGTTCATCTTTTTTGTCTTACTTTATTTTCGGTATAATCATCATGGATGCATGAAAGTTGGAATGCTGCATGCTGGGAATGATAGGTACTTTTGGGTACTTTATTCCATCTGAACAAACTTCATTAATCAAGTTCAATTTGAAACAAGAACATGGACAGCATTAAGATATGGAATGATGGAACTCACAAGAAGCATTAAAAAAACCGCTCAAGGCAAAACTGAAAAGTATATGCAAGTACCGGTTCATTTCAACTTTCAGCAAGAATATTGAAAAATATTACAAAAAACAATGTAAGGGAATCACCCATGTCTAAAATGCTAATATCTGAAACAAACCATCCAAATCTAGGAAATTTTCTCAATCTTAGAATATAATAATATGGGGGAAGAAGAGTCGGGATAAAGAATGGAAGAGAGGGATGAGGTATGAAATTTGGTACGACACTAGTCATATACTTGAGATAAATGTGCATATTGTTGTTTGGTTTGACGGAAAATTGTTTCACCAAATCCTTAGATGTTGCATACTAATAGTTCTTTTGATTGTCTCATAGATTCAAGGTTGGTGGAGCAATTTGATGGAACAAGAGAGGTCTAATGTGAGTTTCCTTTGTTATTCTAAGGCTTTCTGATCAGATATATCCTCTTGTATCTGTCTTACATCAGAAATTCGTCCCAGGTATTGAAATATCTTCGTATCACTGAAAAAGATGAGATCGCGTGGGCACTGATCCAAGCTGCTGCTGCTCCAATAGCTCAAACTGCTGTCATAACCACGCTGGATGTTCTTGGGCTAGACGGTTCTGCCAGGATGAACATTCCTGCAACACAGGTAAATATAATTTCTTCAAAAGTGCGCATATGAAAATATGCAGTAGCATGAGGCAATTAAGGTTCATGCATCTTGAACATTGTTAATTAAGTAATAGAGAATTAGTCGTGGTTTGAATTTTCAAGGCCCTACCGAGGATTACGTGGATGATGTGCAACATCTTTCCCCTCGTGGCTGGTTAATTTGAACTCTGATGACACATTTCAGGATCTCCATTGTTTTAACTTGATCCAAAGTTCATTTTGCTTCTCTTTCTGGGCATGTTGCATTGTTTTGCATGCAATTGTAAATTGACTTCGACAAAAACCATGATGAATTATAGAGCTACGGATCTTTTGTTGTGCAGCATGGAAACTGGAGTTGGAGGATACCAAATTCCATGAGTTTTGATACCTTGGAAACAGAAGCATTACGGTTAAGGGATATGGTTTCCATGTATGGGAGAATGTAGTTCCGGAAAGCTTCATATTTTTCTTTTTCCTCGGTCATCACACATGATTCCAGATTTGACGACCCCTCATGTATCTAGAAACAATCTCTCTAGCTTTGAATAAGTTTTTCTTTTTCCTGATGATCGAGGCTTATGAGTAAAATATTATTTATAAACTAATAAAAGGCTTGATTGCCCTTTCATTTCCATGTCTCGTTCATAACATACTTTCTAAGTAGATGCTACTTATAATGGAGGAATCAGTCACTAGCTTCATGGGGAGGACCTGAAACTCAAATCCCTTTCAGGATATTATGAGCTTCATTCTTCTTGTGAAAATCTGAGTTTGGGAAATCGTTCATAAAAGTGTTATTTAGTCTATGCACTGAAGAACTGTGTAATTTACTCCTTGTATCTTTGATATTAATGCACAATAAACATAATTGAAGTTGATCTTAATTGTTATCCTTTTTACAATCATTGCCGAGTTTTGGCTGGCTTCTGTTCATGAATCTCTGCAGAAAATACAAACCATAGTTGCATCATAGGTTAGCTACAGAGGTCATCTTGTTTAACTTGTTATATTCGCACTTTAACCCCAAACTTTTAAACTTTACAAACTAGTCCTTAATTGGAAACTGAATCAAATCATAATTTAACCGAACTAAACTATCTCCATTAGACCCACAATCAAATAACCCCTATAAATTATTTTCAAATCATCGAATGTTGAAAAAAATTATGGACTGATTTCAAGATGTTTCAACTCCTTTAAAAAAAATTCATCCATCAATTTTACCTTAAGTGATTAACTGAGGATTTTAAATTGATCAGCTCTATCTCCTGAGCTAAGTTAAATTTATCACTGAAATGGGTAAAACCAAATAATATATTTTTTTTGAAAAAAAAATCATGAGGATTTTTTTATCCTTTAAACTTAATTTAATTATAAATTACTGAAAAAATAAAACTAAAATGTTGCAGTCTTACTAATTATAAAAAGTTATAAATGATTATAAACAGTAAATAAACTAAAAATCTGTCAAGTCCAGATGACATATTTAAAGTTTTATGAATTCATTCTAATTAGCCATGGTTCTAATAACGTGGTATCACTTGTTTAAAACACTTTGTTCCTCCACATGCCACACTTGCATAGCTAAAATGTCCAAAAGGCATCAAATGCTAGTTTGAAAGAATTTTTAGAGCTGGAAATCTTCAGGTTACAGCCTAGAGACAACTGAAGTGAGTCCACTGGTCTTTCCATTTTTCAAGCAAAAACAGTTGTGTTGGGGAACTTATGTGTATTGTGTGGGAACCCACACTTCAAATTCCATTATTTGCCTTCAATAATTCATTAGAATGTTTGGGTGGGCTCTGTTATCTGTTTATACATCTTATCCAAGTTGTCAAGGGTGTGCACTACATTTCAAAACATTAGCAACTCTATTAAATCACCTTGAACAAAAATCAGAGCAAATACACTCAACAATCACCATACATTTCCATGACAAATCTATAAATGCATACATGCACATATTTATATATGTATATGTAATTTTAAGATCCTTAAACCTAACTTGCCATCAGCAGTTGTTGACAAGGGGATTAGTAGTGTTCTTCCTTTATTAAGTTACAGTTGACGAAGATGAAGTTTATCCTTAGCTTTTGCCTGGGTAAAAAGAATGGTTAAAACATGTTTGAGAAGCCATTTTTGTAGTGTTATCATCCTGCCTGTTAGACTTTCTGTTGAATGAACTGTATTTGCCTTGCCTATGCTTCCTTCTTGGATGTGGTGCCTTTGGGATAAAAAATCCAGTGCCTTTGCTTTCTCTCCTGCATATTTGCTCTTGGAGATACTGAGATTGTGTTATGGGATAATTTGCTCCACAGAATGTCTGAATTTTTTTTGACAAATACAAACTCAATACCAAAAATTGTAGGAGATAACATGTTATTTCAAACTCAAAGCTTAAAAAACTTGGAAAGAAACTGAAGGACATCCTGAAACCGGCTCTTCATCACCAACACCACCATCATCATCCATGATTAGCAGAGAGATCCTCTTGCTTAAGTCTGCAAAAAACAGATCATCTTCAAGCTCAACAGCCACTTCCATGTTTTTTTTTTTGGACAAGAAACAAGATCACCTTTAGTTTCTAAATATTGAAACCTATTTTCCATGCCATGGGGATGATATGGAGGGGTTATAAAGGAATCAAAGTGAAAAGGAAAATAGGGGAAGATTAAGAAGTGCATGTGGGATAGTGGGGTCATAAATGGCAGTTGGCCAATCTGGCTAGTCCCCACAAGAATCATGAAGCGATGTTATGATGTTATCCAGTAGGAAGAAAGAGATAAAAGAGTAGCAGAAGCAAAGAGATAATAATAGCCCACACCCAGATATCTAATCCAAGATACACCGAAATCATAGCCTCACTTCCTTTATCCTAAAACATCTCTAAGGAAACAAGGCATGGCTTAGAATTCAGTCTCCCAATCTCTAGAAAATGCACTACTTGCTGCTCAATTGAATGAGCCCTTTACACTTCACTGGTCTCAACTGGTGTCTAGCTAGCTAGATACTGCCGTCTTTTTTGTCGAAAGGACAGTCAAACTTAGTAACCAGAGGATCTAAGAGCATGTTGTAGGGCCATATCTTTTGTTCCTTTAGAGTTTGAGAGTCGAGACTTGTTTTGTCGACCTACATACAATTTGATGGGTCGGTTGACAATGCAACTGGCTTGTTGTATTGTACAGGTTCGTATTTAAGTTGCGAGTAAATTCTGTTTGAAGTCTTGCATTCATCATTTCAATGTCATTTTCCTTCTTTTTACAGAATTTGTGTGAGCAAATCATGTCCTATTTATGTTGACATTTTTTCTAATTAACCGGTATATTTATATTGGTTACATTGTTAATTTACCTATTACATTATAATTATTGATTTCGATGTTTTTTGGGTCGATACTTTTAGAAAATGTATTGACACATATTTAGGTAGTTATTGTACACACCTAAATATGTCACGCGAATTTAATGTTGTACACACCCTTCAACTACCACTACCAATACCACATCCTATTGAAAGCATGATTGAAACATGTTGAATGAACCTTTACTTACATCTCCATCAACTCCGGGACCACTGAACTTGCACAACAAAATTTTTGCCATGGATCATACTGATGCAGACAATGTTAAGCCAACCGAGGAATGCCATGAAGTACATAATGTTGATGAATCTGACAGATTGGTTGGTCAGCTCTTCTCTTCACGTGATCAAGCTTGGTACTTTTACAAGGGATTAGCATGAACATGGGTTTAGTGCACGTAAGGGAACAACACGGCTTGACGTGGTAGGGAATCTGAAAACACAAGAATTTTGTTGTTTCAAAGGAGGGTTTCGAGTATCAAAAGCCAATACTGTTGATCGTCAACGTGCTCATATGCTAGTCACAAGAATAGAATGCAAGGCTAGAGTCGTAGTTACAGCAACAAATATAAACGATCACTGGGTTATAAGTAAGTCTTATCAGAAACATGATCATGCATTGTGCACACCTGATATGAAACCATTTATGCGTTCTAATAGATTTGTAAGTAAGGCTGATATCGATGAGGCAACATCATTGAAAGAGGTCGGTGTTGGCACGTCACAAGTAATGAACTATTTAACGCAGCAGGCAGGGGGCTATCATAATATTGGATTTACACATAAAGACCTCTACAATGCACTTCAAAGAGGTAAAGCAAAGGAAATCGTCGATGGGGATGTGAATATGCTTATTGCTTACTTTGATTATAAGAAACATGATGATCCAGGGTTTTTTATGACATACTCGGTAGACGAATCAGGGGCATTGCATAATCTTATTTGGTCGGATTCTACATCGAGATCAGATTACACATGCTTCGATGATATAATTGCGTTCGACACAACGTACAAAGATAATTTGTATGGTCGACCAATTATGCCTATTGTCGGTGTCAAACATCAACATAACATAATTGTGTTTGCCACTGCCATAATCGCTGACGAGACGTCCCAATCTTTCGAGTGGGTGCTACAGAATTTTTTAGAAGCCATGATGAATAAATCGCCTATTTCAGTTGTCATCGATGGGGATAGGGCAATGCAGAGGGCTATCAAATCTGTTATCCCTTATGCTAAGCACATATTATGTTCTTGGCATCTTTCTCGCAATGCACAAGCTAACATTGGTGACACAAAATTTACAGCAACATTCTCAAAATGCATGGCTTCCTGGTGGACAACTGAGGAATTCAATATTCAATGGTGTTCGGTTGTTTCAGAATTCAATGTCGAAAAGCATCCATGGGTGATTGAGATGGGAAATACTCGGCACGTATGGGCACAAGCATATCTAACCGGTCATTTTTTTGTCAATATTTGCTCAACACAAAGGTGCGAGTCTATGAATGCTTCACTAGCGATTGCACTGAAACACAAAAAGACATATTTAGATGTTGTTCATGCAATTGAATATGGAATTAGTAGAATGCGTATGAACGAGTTGAATATGGAATTAGTAGAATGCGTATGAACGAGTTGAAAGCGGATTACTTAAGTTCCCAGACGAAGCCCTTCCAGATCACAAAACTGGTTGAACTTGAAAACCATGCTGCTGAGATTTTTACCCGCGAATCTTTTCGTGCGTTCCAAGATGAACTTCAACGGGAGACATTGTACCAGATTGAGGAAGAGATTCAGTCCTTATCAGATGAATGTCAACATTATATTATGACAAAATACAAAGAAAAAAATAGAACATTTGAAATTAGTTTTGATTATCGTACGGAAACCCTAATTTGCTCATGCAAAAAATTCGAGACCGTTGGACTTCTGTGTCACCATCAACTTCATATTTTGAAGCACTTGGATTACACATATTTGCCCGAGACTTTGATTCAAAGTAGGTGGACTAAGGATGCGAAGGCTTCTGCACCCAGTTATGTTGACTTGAATGTGCCTCAAGAAGTGATGCAAATGGCAAGGTTCGCTGCTCTACGTTCAACGTCAAGTAGGTTATGCTACATTGCATTAAAGAAGACGCGTCTTTCAAAACCGCAAGAGATGATATGAAAAGACTAATAGAAGAATTTGAAAACTCGTTTGGTTTGAATGATTCAGTCAACCAGAGCAGTGTAGTAAACATCGTTCGCAACCCTCAACGAAAACAACTCAAGCGAAAAGAAGTACCGAAGAACAAGGTCGAGAAGAAAATTAGGTGATGTGGGCACTGCAACGGTGAGGGACATAACAAACTAACATGTCCTCAAGTCAAGTTCAGTTTGAATACAAGCACACAACCTACATCAACTGATTTTTTCGAAGACAGAATGGAATGGCCATTCATTCCCGCACATGATGACAACGATCTTTATATATCGTAAGTATCAAAATGACTTCTATTGTGTATAAGAAACATGTACAACAACCTATTGCTAACTTTTCTCATCTCATAGATAATTACATTCACATACAAAACTATAAATCATATATAACTTATATAAAATTAACCCTACATTAACAAAATTTCCTCTCTTAGTCTATTTTGATTGTGGCTTACGAGACTGTTTAATATTTCATCCGCATCATCATATAAATGCTAAACAATATGTAGAGTATAGTCTCCCACAATCATGGCCGGAATCAGTTCTGTAACTGGGATTATCCAGGTTACTCATATTGACTGCATAGCCAATAAAACTATCCTTATATAAAATTAAGAACAATTCTTCAACAACTGAATACAACTATTAAAAGTAATGTTCAATCATGCACTCCTTACGTTGGAGGGCTCTAAACCCTAAACCATCAAAGAAAGCTTACCTTACCAATTCCTAGCTTACCATTTGGACCCTGCAAGGGGTTTTATTGGCTATGCTGTCAACATGATTATGAGCTTCCTTTATCCTTTTCACATTCAATAAGACTATAGAGATTTGAATCAATTAAATTGGATTAAATACTTTAATCCAATTACCATTTCGAGAACAATTACATGAATACATTGATACTTACTGGTCGCTTTCGATTTTCTTCAATATTGATACGCTAGGGCTCTATTTGAAGGTCATCATCTTCGTGAACAAAAATTGAACTTGCAACCTATAACCATTCATAAACAACAAAATTTAAAACCTAACCCCTCTTTTTAAAGATTTTCTAAAAAATTAGGGTTTCGACAATATACATATCGAACAGACGAAGGGAAAAAGTGTTTGTCACATGAATAACTGATCGTAACTGTTATGAATGCTGGCATTCCTAATAGAGGGTTTATCAATTTAGGGTTTTTAGCGTTACATTATAAATAATGAAGGAAGAAAAAATGCGTTATTTACAAGTATCGACACAAATCTAAAACGTGTCGATACATTATGTTCACCTATTTTCTCATAAAACAGGTACATTTATATCGGTTACATTATAAATTTACCTATTACATTATAATTATCAGTTTCGATATTTTTGGGATCGATACTTTTTATAAATGTATCGACACTTTCTGCGTTCACCCTTTTGGGCATTCATTCTGGAAAAAAGTATCGACACATCATTTAAAAGTGTCGACAAATTATGTAGACCTATTCTGACATAAAATCGATATATTTATACCGTTTATATTACAAAATTACCTATTACATTATAATTATGGATTTTGATGTTTTAGGGATCGATACTGTTTAAAAATGTATCGACACTTTATGTGTGCAACCTTTTTGGATTTTCCTTGTGGACCAAAATTATCGACACAAATCTAAAACGTGTCGATACATTATGTTCACCTATTTTCTCAAAAAACCGGTACATTTATACCGGTTACATTGTAAATTTACCTATTACATTATAATTATCGGTTTTGATGTTTTTGGGATCATACTTTTTATAAATGTATCGACACTTTATGTGTTCACCCATTTGGGCATTCATTCTGGCAAAAAGTATCGACACAACATTCAAAAGTGTCGAAACATTATGTAGAACTATTCTAACATAAAACCGGTATATTTATACCGGTTATATTACAAAATTACCTATTACATTATATTTATGGATTTCGATGTTTCTGGGATCGATATTGTTTAAAA